TTTTATATATAGTGGCTAACATTTGTAAATCTCAAACTCCCAAATTTATCCCTTCCCAGCCCCTTTCCCCGGTAACCGTAAGATTGACCATGTAACCTGGTTTTATTCCCTTTTCACAAATATGTCAAGGCCAACTTCCCAATCTGTATAAGGACTATATCTTTTTCAACGCTGTATCTGAATGCACCATTAACCCTTTTGATGTGTATTTAACAGTGTTCTGCTATCATTCAAAGTGCTGCAAGGGACATCCTTCTACACTTTTCTGATTGTGTCAGATATTTTCCACTTGCTCCTCCAGATCTAGAAAAAAAAAGTGAAGCTGAGAAATGTTAAGTAACTTATTTGAAATTCTACCTCCCTACAGACAATAGAGTTCATTATAGGCTGTGTCAATACGCGTAATTGGATTGTCCGTAGCAATAATTAACTTTGCCATATCACCAAAAGGTCAATTCAGTGAAACCGCCAGCGTGCTTTTCTGATGGAGCTGACAGTGGGGCTTCGCTCCGCGTGTTCACAGCCCCAGCCAGATTTGTCAGTGATGTCGCCAGAATCCCAGAGGGTGAGTCAGAGCTTACATCTGAGTTCATGGAAAATCAGAAGTATCTGGAGGTAAAAGCGCGGGGTGGGAATGCTCACGGTGGGAGTCAGCACTGAGGCACTGCTGTCTCGGCGTGGGGTTTGGGGGGGCTGGTCCCTGGTTCTAGTCTTTCTTTGCTGAGCTCACTGCTCTGCTGCTCCCGTTTGCCTGGCCTCTCCCTGCAGGCAAGGCCCGCCGCTGCCCGTCTCTTTCCTGGGGAGCCCAGGGTCCCTCTCAGGCGCTCCACTGCCCTGGAAGCCCGCGGGGTCCACAGTGGTCTCCTCTTCCTCTTCACCTGCGGGAACGACAAGAGCCAGGGCTCAGCTGATGACACGTTTAGAAACGCCACTCCAACTGGCTCAAGTAACCAGCAAACTGCAAGGTGCAGACAGGCTTGGAAAGGCTTGATCCGAGGCCATGACAGGCTCTCCCGCTCTCGCTCCCTCCCTCTCATTTACCCCGACGCTCCTCTGGGCTTTACATGACGCGGATGCTCAGGCGCTGGGAAAGCCGCCCTGGCAGCTCCACCTTTAGTCTCATTCTGTGGGTCAGAAGGGAGGAAAACCTCCCTTACACCAGACTCTGAAATCTCAAGGAGACTCGGATGGGTGCTGCCTGGACCACACTGCCCCGCTTCAGTGGGGAAGGGAGAGTGCAGACAAACAGGGTGCCAGTAACTGCCCCCCCCACTGCAGTGACTGTGGTCCTCTTGAGGGCACACACATCTGAGTTGCTCACCCAGGTCACCTGGACCGCCAACTGCCTCGCACATAACAGGGGCCCCATAAAATGTTTTCTTATGGAATTAAATGGACACTTAATTACCTCCAGCCACCCTGGCTTTCCTGAGTACGTATGCATAACCCCTCTCTCTAAGTTAAGCCTGCCTTCCAGAGAGGCCAGGGGCTCTCCTCCATGGGTCTTTATGCTTTTGGGTTTCTGGGTTGTGGGGATATTTGAGGGGGAGGGTTGGGGGACGGTGGTGGCAGTCACAGCAGTTCTGTGACAGTAAAGGTGCTGTCTGCTTGGGCATGTGTTTGCTGTCCCGTTCTCCAACATGACAAGGTGTCAGGCAGCCTCACCAGAGCCACCTTCCAATGCTGAGCTAACCCCGAGGGTCACGGAGCGTTTGTCTGATGAAGGCTATCGTGGTTCCATCTCCCTTGTCCTCGCCTCTTCTTTTTCCCTCTCCTCCTGGGGATTTGGCTTGGAAGCAGGAGGGGCCCCCCAACCGTACCTGCTAATAGCATTCCAGAGCATTCCCGCCAATCCCAGATGCTCGCCATCATTACCCAGCCTGTGTCCAAAACCACCAGGGCCACTCTGTTCTTCTTAAGTGTGAGGGCTGTTAGGATTCAGAAAGTCAGAGCTGTCTATGGCTTGTTCTATGAATTTGCTTTTTCTTCTACAAAAAGGCAAAGGAAATTGTTTGTTTCTAAGAACTACGAAGGATGCTGGAGACATTTGGATAAACCTGCTTTTCTGTGAGCTCAAGATGATAACTTAATCTGACAAACAGGATCATTAATTTATCAAAAGCGATGCATTCCACTTGAGACAAGTTATTAATCTAGAACACCATAGATGGCACCCTTTCTGGTCAGATACATGTAGCTTAGCAAGTTCTAGTAATACATCACATCTTTACCTCTTGCCAAAAGAAAAGTCTATTTTTTGATATTGTTTAGAGAAGAAAACCACATATTGATTTTTAAATATATGTGAATAACCTAAGTCCCCAAACTCAGCTATGATACAGCAAAGAATAAAAAGAAATAAATGGAAAATAAATGGAAGTCGGCAGGGACAAAGGAAGAAAAGCTCCAGAAAAAAACCACTAGCTTGCTAACAACAAAAAAGTGCATCTCGATGAAGGTGTTGCCAAAAGCATTGCAGATGCCTTCCTTTGGTCCTTAGACAACCCCTTCCTTTGGTGAGTGAAAATGAAAAAATAATTATTACTTTCATTTCCTTCTGGAAAAGAATCAGTGGCTCATGTCCTGTAGTAACTCTAGGTGGGAGAGGGAGGAACACGGCAGGCGTGAGAGATGCTGGGTGCAGACAGAGGCACGAGAAATTTGTTCTCGGCGATATTAGTGGGGTCCCCAGTTCCTCTCCCAGCGGGACACAAGAGGTGACTTTTACGGCACCCAGATATCATTCTCCTGGGAAGAATTAAAGAAGGACACGCCTCTGGCTTCATCGCTCGTGCCAAGGTGGACAGAGACACAGAGCATTTTCTAGACAGCAAGCGGGGCTTTGCAGCTGTGAACCCAGCAGTTCTCCCAGAGCCTAATCATAAAGGTTCTCAGGAGTAGTTCGTGATTATAAACAACTGCCAGATAGAAGGGAAGATTTTGAGACGTGGCTGCATCCGTGTCTCCTGCTGTTATGCCTTTCTCTTTTTCCTCTCCCTTCTTTTCCATCACATGACTTTTCTCACCATCAGCCCTCCCAGATCGTGACTGAACACGCCTACACCCAACAGTAGTTCACTTTGCCATCATTTTTGCTGAGCAAGGACTCTGGCACCAGACCCTCCCCCTCTCCCCGATCCCTATTCTGGCTCTGCCACTTACTAGCTGTGTGACCTTGGGCAGGTCACTTACGCTCTCTGTGCCTCATTTTTCTCATCTGCAAAGGGGGGTAATAGTAATAACGTAGCTTCTGAAGAGTGCCGCTCTGAAGAGCCAGTTAATAAGTGAAATGTGCTTGGGGTGGGGCTGGGAATATAATGAGTCATTTAAGTACATGATAAATAAAATCAAGAGGAAGTTCACCTTCAAAAATAACTGAAAAGAATTTCAGGTAACATGTCTGTGGTACAGAAATCAGAAAACGTGTAAGCAAGAACAGGGGTCCCGCCCTGGGCTGAGGTTCCCGAGGTGCCCAGGGAGCTGCAGGAAGGAAGCTGTAAGCTCACACTTGCACCCCAAGCCTCACTGCAGACACGGCAAATATGCCTCCCAAACGCGTTCTCACTTCAGGGGCTGTGGGGCCCGTCCACCCAGCGGGAGAGGGCCCCTGTCTCTCTGTCTCTCTCCTGGTGCAGGAATTTCTCAGGGGTAGGTCTACTGGTCTTTGTTCTCTGTTCTATTTCTTTTCCTTTTCTTTTAAAATTCTTAACACAGGCTTTGATGCATTTAATTAATTTTTTTTGTAGCTAGCGTTGCATAATTTTTTTTAATATGTGTCGCACTATGATACTGACCAGCAGAGCACAGCCTTTAAAAAACAGGGGACCGGGAACCAAAGCCAGCTTGTCAAACAGCCACCCAGGCCGCTGGGGAGGAGAAGGGGAAGACCTGAGTTTTGGGGTCCTGGGCAGCTGCGAGTCCAGGAGGGCAGGGAGGAGGAGGGCTACTAGATGGCTGTCTGGTGAGGGTGGGGAGGGGTGGGGATGGACATTATTGGGGACTCGGTTAGAGCAGAGGATAAAAATTCCTTGCAGTGGAATGGGGAGTGTGTCCCCATGTCTGCTGCACAGCCCCAGGGCTGTGAGAGCTCCAACCGCAGGCTTGCGAGAAATCCGCCAGCCCGAGGGCAGAAGTGGACGGAATGACGCTGCGACTGAGACTCTGGCTTCTCCGCATGCAGGGGTGACACTGTGCTGCTGGCTGAAGAAGCAAGCATGGAGTTTGGGCAGTGGGGCACAAGGGACCTTGCTGGTGGTGACCCCAGGGACAGTGAGGGGAAGGTGAGGGAGTGACAGAGGAGGGCATGCCTGTGTGGGGCAACACTCCAGGGATCCAGGAGCTGGGCCAGCGAGATGCCACTTCTGTGACCCTGGGGAAAAGGTGGGTGAGGGTCTATCTGAACTTTTTGTTTTCAAAAAAATTTTGGGGGGTGGTTGGAGGTAATTAGGTTTGTTTATTTATTTAGTGTTATTTTTAATGGAGGTACCAAGAATTGAACACAGGACCTCCGGCATGCTAAGCACTGCATTGTTTTTCTTTTTCTTTCTTTTCCTTTTCCTTTTCCTTTTCCTCTTTCTTTCTTTCTTTCTTTCTTTCTTTCTTTCTTTCTTTCTTCTTTCCTTCCTTCCTTCCTTCTCTTCTTCTTCTTCTTCTTCTTCTTCTTCTTC